CTAAAAGTTCATGTTTCTGTTTTATCACAACTATGATACCGACTTGGATCAAAATGATTACGACATTGTTTCAGGCAAGCGTCTCAATGATGCCATATTTACATGCGTGTAAAGGTACTTTATATATTTTTTCTTTAATAATTTATACTCGCATTACAACAGTATATATCAACCCAGGGGTGTTTCTTATGACCCACCATTCAAGGTGTTATCAGGCTGTCTTTACCAATCCTGGCAGATCTTTTTTCTCCCCGGGGCCATACTTTCTTGTTTATTTCATTCACCCGTCCCCCAACTGCCTTCACCTGGCCCCTCCAACCCTCAATTTTATCGATTACCAACTCGACCACTATTCTCTCACCCCTAAATATAAGACCAAATTAAATCTTAAACATAAATTTCTTGCGTCTGTTCCCCTGATGATTTGAACAGATGAAAGCTTTTGAAATGTTTGTGTATTATTTTCCATTTTTAGTTACCTGTTTGAATCACCTGCACATATTTGTAATTTGTACACATACAGTACATAAATTTATTCGGCTTATTTCATCTTAAGGTTAATCGCCCTAACGCTAACCTAAGTTAACCAAACGCTTACTTTACCTAACATAACCTAACCAAACCTAACATAACCTTACACTTAATTTAACCAGGTTGCGTGTTTTAATCATCGATTTAATTAAGTTGGGGTAACTAATCTTCTCGTGATCCCATAAAATTACACAAATACGCTGTAATGTAAACCTATAACTACAAACACAAATAAACAAATAAATCCTGAATGTATAATCATACTGGGGGGAAAATCACAGTGAACCTCGAGGCCACAACAGCGTGAGGAGTGGAACGAGTAACACCGCCCTTCATCAGAGTCGTAGAGTTACAGTTGTATAATAAACACAGAGCTTACGGGAAGACCTACCTCGGTGACGGTGATTATTGCGGAAGTGAGGGAGATGAAGTGAGGGAGAGAGATGAAGTGAGTGTGATGCTGAGGAGAGTGAGGGAGGGAGATGAAGTGAATGTAATGCCGAAGAGAGTGAGGGAGGGTGGTGAAGAAAGGGAGGGAGGTGAAGTGAGTGTGATGGAGAGAGAGAGAGAGAGAGAGAGAGAGAGAGAGAGAGATTGATTTACTCTCTCGCCTCCAGTTAAGTTTACACAGCAACCTCCTGTCACCCTCTACCAATCAGCCAGTCGGAAGCCACAACCTTGACTAGCAGCAGAGATCTCAACCAATCACGAGGGTTCCTTATATTACGTCATGAGTAACTGCTAACTGCTAGTTTTCATCCTGCCCATGACAAAATATATATGGACACACAAACACACACGCACACACGCACGCATGAAGGAGGTGATCAATCATGTATTCAACAGGATTTTTTTTAAATTACAGTACGTTGGTATTTTACTGTTATTTGCTATTCAGAAAGGTGTCGTCCCTCCTCCCACACACTCACTTTCTCTCTCTGATCTTTACGTAGCCATAATAATATATCGTTTATTAAATACACAACCCATTTAATAGCACCATATTTAAGGATAGAAGATGAATATATACAATATGTAAATAGATAGTATGGATGTACGAAGGAGAGGTAGAGAGAAGGTGGACAGATTAGTGTGTGTAAGGCCGGTGGTGTTTGATGTGACTGACGCAGGAGAATGGTGCCTTGTCTGCTGCCATGACAACGTCAACTGAGAGTGACTCCGAGAATGGGATAGTAAACTCAACTTTGACGATTCATTTTATTGTGTAGAATGAATATGATGGTCAGATGTGTGAATGTTTAATGACATTATATGAATTTGAACTTTCTAATACCAGTCATCAGTTTATTGGTAAGTGAGTAAATTAAAACACATCTCATTCTTTGATTCCAATATTTTCTCGACTTACCGTGGATAATGTTGGCAACATAAATGAAAATCAGAGATAAGTGAATCTGTTGAGTTAGGTTCGTGGAGGATGGTTTGTGTACCCTGGAGAAGCTTTGCTTGACGCTTTGTCAGCGAATTCTGGAATCTTCATGGCTTTCGTTTGCTTTCCACCACTGGCTGATGCAGAACTTCCTTTGAACCTCAGCCTTGGGGTGTTTTTTTTAGCTGTAGTGGAGATAAGACTTAATGCATCTCCCCTAGTCCTCCCCTGCCTGTGTTATGTTCTGTAGGAGATCTTTCTTTCTTTCTTGATGTATAATAACATCACGTACACTCGGAAACCATATTCTCTAGCCCACCTGCGTCCGTTGTGGAGGTTAGTACAGTGTCCTTTCTGGACGGGGGGCCCACTCTAACTATCACGAGGCAACACACGCACGAACACACACAGTCATAGTACGGCTGTATAGATGACATTATGTATAAATATTGTATATGGCATTTTATACTCTGCATTAACTTCATTATATATGAACACGAAGAAAAATTACCATAGTTGTAGTTACGAAAGTATGAATGGAAATAAACACTTTCAAACCACCCAGTGAGTCCACACAACGTTTACAGCGCTTGTGTGTGTGTGCCAGACCACGATGCTTCCACCACACCCCATCATTCGCATAACTATATGAAAAATCGTGTTTAATTTAACTACACATTTCAAAAACCTTAAATTACATGTGGATCAGTCACTCCTCATTTGACACACTTATAGTGTAATACTTTGACCATCCTACCTGGGCACATGGAGGCCCACGGTAACTCTCACGGGGCAACACGCACGAACACACAAGTTATGATATGAACCCTTCCAGGCTTCACTATCATTATCATGTTATGTTCATCGTGCTCTGTATCTTGGTAACTAGTCATAGTATCAATAGATGACAGTGTTATTAGTATAATATTGTAACCTACCTGCAGTTATTGTTGTAAATCATGGACAGAAAGGTTACATAAATTGTAATATCAAGTGTGTGGTTCGCTCAAAGCCACCCCAATTCAGACAACGCGTCACACAAAGTTGCACTGTGTGTGTGTGTGTGTATGTGTGTGTGTTCTGTAACATTAAGCTTCATCCTTAGTAGGTAAGATGTTTCGTAAAGAGGTTTCTCCCATTCGTCATTGTGAGCATCGTCCTAGAGCACATTGTTTCCATCAAAACCATGGTTCATCCTTATTTCCCTTCTTCCGTGTAACTACTGTATATCCATATAGCTAAGTGCTTGCTTTTCATTTCTTTATTTACCAAAATAATGTGGATCAGTTACTCGTTATTTAACACATACATGCACTAAGAGCATCAAGATTGTTTTGTAGGCATGACTATTGGTTAATTGAAACCCCAAAAATATTGTTCACATTAATTATGCATAAACATTGTAAACATATCTATGTGATTATTGTAGTATATGACATATATTTAATGTCTGGACAGATTCCCAAGAGTTTTGCATATTAATGCATAGATTTTGTAAGCATAATTATGTGAAGTGACGTAAAACCACATTTTTGGGGTTTCAATTAACCAATAGTCATGCCTACAAAACAATCTTGATGCTCTTAGTGCATGTATGTGTTAAATAACGAGTAACTGATCCACATTATTTTGGTAAATAAAGAAATGAAAAGCAAGCACTTAGCTATATGGATATACAGTAGTTACACGGAAGAAGGGAAATAAGGATGAACCATGGTTTTGATGGAAACAATGTGCTCTAGGACGATGCTCACAATGATGAATGGGAGAAACCTCTTTACGAAACATCTTACCTACTAAGGATGAAGCTTAATGTTACAGAACACACACACACACACACACACACACACAGTGCAACTTTGTGTGACGCGTTGTCTGACTTGGGGTGGCTTTGAGCGAACCACACACTTGATATTACAATTTATGTATCCTTCCTGTCCATGATTTACAACAATAACTATAGGTAAAAAGTTACAATATTATACTAATAACACTGTCATGTTACCAAGATACAGAGCACGATAAACATAACATGATAATTATAATGAAGCCTGGAAGGGTTCATATCATAACTTGTGTGTATGTTGCCCTGTGAGAGTTACCGTGGGCCTCCATGTGCCCAGGTAGGATGGTCAAAGTATTACACTATAAGTGTGTCAAATGAGAAGTGACTGATCCACATGTAATTTAAGGTTTTTGAAATATGCAGTTAAATTAAACACGACTTTTCATATACTTACGCGAGTGATCGGGTGTGGTGGTCTGGCACACACACAAGCGCTGTAAACGTTGTGTGGACTCACTGGGTGTTTTGGAAGTGTTTATTTCCATTCATACTTTCGTAACTACAACCTATGGTAATTTTTCTTCGTGTTCATATATAATGAAGATAATGCAGAGTATAAAATGCCATATACAATATTTATACATAATGTCATCTATACAGCCGTACTATGACTGTGTGTGTTCGTGCGTGTGTTGCCCCGTGATAGTTAGAGTGGGCCCCATCCAGAAAGGACACTGTACTGATCTCCACAACCGACCCAGGTGGGCTAGAGAATATGGTTTCCGAGTGTACCATATACTGTATAAAAAATGGGATGTCCTCATCCGCTATGCTGTCAGTCTAGCAAGATGATGATGATGATGATGATGGCATTCACTGTCTCTGCCCCTTTATGCATTGTGATGAAACTTACAGTATGTTGTCCATGGCACAAAAAAAACAGCTTCACAACTTGAAATGAATTTCATATAAATGTTTTTTATATTGTTTTTATTCTATACTTTGTTAATGTATTTGACTTTAGTTTTAGAATGGTTGTGTATATTTTGTTCTACAGGAAATTGAAGTGTCAATCTTTTCAATTTTTTTTTTGTGGCATTATTTGTAGATTTAGTAAAGATGCTTCTTCCACAGTTTCTTTTTTATTAATTTAATTTTTAAACTCATTAACCCTTTGGGGACGAAATGTTTAAACCACCTTCTTCAAAGGGTTAAAACCTCATCCCAAAGAGACAACCCGGTCCACTAGCACATGGTCGTGTTATTAACAGTATATTCGTCTTTCCCTCACAGACGATGCGACTACGGTGTCTTGCGAACTCTACATTCGGAGTTTCGGCTCGATCGACCCCTCGTCCATGGTGAGTAATGGCGTTGATGAAAGGGAGGGTAGGGCGGGGGGACAAGGAATGATGGAAGGAAGGAACGAAAGAGAAAAAAATAGAGGGGAGGAAGGAAGTTATAGTTCGGAATGGTGTCAGGGTAGGGGACGGAGGAAGTAAAGGCGGGAAGAAGGGAGGGAGGGAAAAGACAACATCAGAGCGAGGGAGATGGATTTTAAGTGGTCATGTTAAGAGCTGTTGGGACGATATTGGATGCACATATACTTACACAGACAGTAATAAACAAAATCATGGTAAAAATTTGTTGTGTTGTCAAAGAAATAGAAACAATTGAGACCCTGCAATTGTGTGTAAATGAAGCAGTCAGATCATCAACCTGGGACTTGGTCACAATATTTGTGATGCCATATGGCAGCAGGGTCTGCCATTAGAATGACCTTATGACTCCGTGTGTCTGACCAGGTGACCTGGGAGGTTGCATATGCCTTAGACTGTGGCTCTGTTTTATTACAAAGATCATTTTAACACCAAAACCAGCCTTTTTGATCTTCGGGGAGTCATTTTAGGGCTGTTTTTATTATCTGGCATTGATACCTTGATTGACTTTGACCCTGACCTTGAAATATTTGCCCTTTAGGGTCAAAACCCTTCTATTACCAGAAGGTACGTGCTGTACATCGGTACCGATTTTCAGGCTTTTGTCCACAGTTGTGGCAAAGTCGTTAATTTTGACAGATTTCCACCTGACTACATTAGTTATTTGATGAAGTAAAGTTAACAACTGCGGATCCCACCTTAGAATTAGTGGGTCAGGATCGAAATATCCGCCCTTGGCCAAAATCAGAAGCACATGCAGATAATGACCATAAAGAATAATATCTGTTAAAAACTGAAGTCAGTTGGGGGTGGGGGGATACTTTTTCGTCTACTCATTTAGTCATACTTTATTGGAGGTGTTTCAATTTTAGGATTAGGGGGTGGGGAGGAGGGCGACCGCTGGGACAACTTCCCAAAATTTCACCACCGTGACTGTTATGGGGTTCATGTTTATCTTCATTTAAGTTTCAGCTTTATCTTCAAAACTGTAGCCGTGTAGAGAGAACAGAAAAACACACAGAAACAGATACTCTGCTGTATAACAGTTACATAAATTAGGATATACAGTGTTAATATTTGTTTATAATATACTGTCATGGGTACACTGGATATATCTTGCTATAATAGGCCGACTTAAGTATACTGGATATATCGATAGATATATTATTTTCACATAAACCTGATGCTACAGGTCAACCTAGATATGTTTGTCATATATTCTAGAATTACTGCCTTAACTAGATATTTATTTGTGAAAAAATTTAATCCGAAAAGTTTAGATCGGGTATAGAAGGTAATTAAATTTTATATTGAAAATTAAATAGTATAGAGAAAGTTAGCCAGTTAAAGTTGTTTTACGGTGAAATTAAATTATCATTTTAATTCTGATGTTTTGTGTTGTGGATGTTACTGTGAAGACTCGTTACTTGCACTGCTATTAAACCGTGTTACGTGTGCTGTTATTAAGATGCGTTACTTGTGCTGTTATTAAGACGTGTTACTTGTACTGTTATTTCACCTTAGGATTAAACACCCCAGCTTATTTCACCTTAAGATTAAACACCCCAACTTATTTCACCTTAAGATTAAACACCCCAGCTTATTTCACCTTAACATTAAACACCCCAACTTATTTCACCTTAAAATTAAACACCCCAGCTTATTTCACCTTAGGATTAAACATCCAAGCTTATTTCACCTTAGGATTAAACACCCCAGCTTATTTCACCTTAAGATTAAACACCCCAGCTTATTTCACCTTAAAATTAAACATCCCTAGCTTATTTCACCTTAAGATTAAACACCCCAGCTTATTTCACCTTAAAATTAAACACCCCAGCTTATTTCACCTTAGGATTAAACATCCAAGCTTATTTCACCTTAAGATTAAAGACCCCAGCTTATTTCTCCTGATAATTAAGCACCGAAGTTTATTTCACCCGAAGACTAGACACCGCAGCTTATTTTACCTGATTGTTAGACACCATACCTCTAATTTTTACCTGGTGATTAGACACCCCAGCTTAATTCACCTGATTATTAACAACCCCAGTGTTCAATGTTAGCCGGGGGTTAGGTTAGGTAATTTTAGGTATGTTTAATTTTTGGGTGAAGTAATCTGAGGTGTAGAATCTTTAGATTAAAATTAATAACCTTGGGTGTCTAATCTTCAGGTGAAATATGATTGGGTTAATCTTCAAGTGATCCGAAAGTTACCCCAAGACACAGGCGCTCGACTGCAAACAAAACAATTGGGTTACTCATCTACTAAATCTTGTTACACTCCGGCAGCTTTTCACTTCATGAACACCGACCCACATAAAACTTTACTAGTGTAGCTTGGAGTAATCTTAAGGTTTTCTGTTTCTTTACAAATATGTTGAGATTTTATATACGTGTGAAAGTTTACTTATCAATAATATTTTCCTAAATTTGTGTGTTTTAGTATATCACCTGAATATTAGGCTTTCTAGCTTATTTTACATGAAGATTAGAGACAGCAGCGTATGTACATGAATATTAACCACCCTAACCTAACATAAACAGATCTAACCTAACCTAGTCTAAGATAATTAATCTTATTCAACCTAATCTAACCTAACCTAACCTTTCTCCCATAAGTAGCATTCAGGTAGTTAAGCTTCAGATAAAATAAGCTGGAATACCTAATCTTCAGGTGATCTTGAATATCTACTAACAATCGTCTCAGTGTTGTCTGTTTGTAAGGAAAAGATAGAACGATATCCCTTGGACTGCCTCGTGTGTGTTTGTGTTGTCAACATTCAACAGTGGAATACTCTGATAAGTTTGTGTTGTGATATTATTTTGGTAGAACCGGGCTGTCTAAAACATCCCCCATTACACACCAGACAGACGACCGGTGACTTGTGTCCCCTGACTATAAGAAGGACGCACTATGAGACGACTGGCCCCCATTTGCCTAAAGGTTGACAAACTCTGTGTTTTCTTGTACAGTCCAGAATTTATCCACGTTGGTGCAGGAGACCTGGACAGCTGCCAGGCATATCTCACAACCTTTATTGTACTGGCGATTCGAGAGTTCATGGTCCGTCAAGGTTGTATTTCGGTGTCACAGCGGACTGAACTTGGTGTTTGGCACAAGATTATACTGGGAGCGGCCACCAGCCTCCATTTTTTATATCCTGGGAATCATACCTAACATATATTGGATGACCAGGTTGTGTCAGCTATGCGTTTTGTATCTGCATAATACCCAGCCTTGGGTGCCATCACTCGCCGCTCGTCAACATTATATTGTTGCGTTCCCCCAAAAGAACGATACACTACGTGTCCTGACATGTGTACACTGGTGCAGAGGTCACCCATGGTGGTGAGTCAGGAATCTGATTATATCATCGCAACTGAGGCGGAGTCTGTGGTGTTACACCCTGTTTACTGATGACATTTGGCTGGAATAGTGGAGGTTAGGTTAGACTTGGCTAGGTTAGGTTACGTTCATAATGATACTGCTGTATTCCTTTATATTTTGTAATATGCACAGTATATCTACATGATTCTCCTTATATACAAACGGGTCTGAATTATAATGTATATATATATATATATATATATATATATATATATATATATATATATATATATATATATATATATATATATATATATATATATGTGATATCCAGAAATTTCAGAGTAATTTCAAATGCCCCGCCATGAGTGATACTGAGCGTTCAAGGTCATCTGAGGGGAGGGAGCGCTGCCTGCTCGTAGCGAGAGATTGCGGAACTAGGCCTATATGATATTAAATATGATTTACCGAATTAATAATGATGCGATTCATGAAGTTAAGGGACTATTATTGAATTTGAAATTATTATAGATCGTTTAGCAGTCTGAATAATGTTACGGGTGTCCCAAGGAGTTATTAGTTAGGCGGAAAATATATCACGTAGGCCCAAGCTAGCGCCTTGGGGAGACGCGATGCTGGCTAGGCCAGTTCCGGAGAGCATTCACACAGACAAGACGTTCCGCGCGTCCATCAGAAATAGTCACGTGGCCTAGTCACCTGTGCTGCGCTATTGCAGTATAACAAGTAAGTCTCATTCGATCTCAGACAGGGTTAGATAGGGCAGTGATAAAGTAAACTAGAGCTAACAGTGAGTTCATTTCAGGGTTTCCGTCAGAACCCACTTGACTGGAGTTGACCGGAGTTGACTGCGAGAGATTGACTGCCGTTGATGATTGAGGGTGGCGATTGTCGCCATTGGACCGATCAGTGTAGGCCTGTCACTGTTTAGCGGGGTAGCAAAGGATCTCTTGAGTGAACGAGTGCTCCCGACAACTAACACGACACGGGACCAGCATCAGCAGTGGGTGATCAGTTCTTACCACTCCGGTGCACAACCCCACATGTCCCGAGCAGCTAGTGAAACCCTCTTGCTAACGGGAAGCTAAAGTTTCTCTCAACTGCGCAAGGTCTGATTGGCTCACTCTCTTCCTGCCCATGGACGCACTGGGAGTACACTGAGGCTATCTGAGTATATTAATGGTCACACACTGAGACCGTGAGTCTAGGACTCTAGGAGATACCTAGAGGAACATTTTATCTTCCTTATCACGGGTGTAGTTAACACCATTCCTCAGACTGATATTATCTTGACGTGTGTAGTTTAATATTTCTTAAATAATTTTGATAGTGGTGTTTTTTTGAATGTTTGTGCCATTAAGTGGAACCAGAGTGATACTGTGATTTGATTCTTTTAATGCCTCTAATTCTTCATAATTCTGATCTCAGGTATAACCTTGTTCCCCAGAGCAGTGGTTAGGTTAGGTTAGGAAGTGTACACCTGTTGGGGTGCTATAATTTTGTTGAGTGATATTATTTTGCTGAAAGCCCTTAGGGCCTATTCATTGTAGAGTATTTAATTTCTTATCTTTTA